CCAAATGGTCAGTCTGCCCCTGCCTGTGATGATCATGGCTGGGCGCACTCAAAGCTACTTGTCATAATATGGAGATCTGTATCTGATTGGCTGCAGTTGCCATTTGGCTTAGGATTTTCTGAAGAGCACTTCGATTTTCATATCGAAGTTAGGCAAGTTGGGTGGTACTGACCAGGCCACCCGCAGCTTGAATTTTGGCCAATGAAGCGAGAATCGTTGGAAATCTGAGCCATGTATAGCCAGCATGAGGCTCCTACACACAACGCATTTATGTGTATATAATCCCCGGGTTGGCTCAGACTTTAATGCTCTACCAGCGGGAGGTCTGCATGGCAGAAGCATTGCCAAGCTAAAATGCATGGCCAAAAAAATCCCAAGCAGCCCAATGCTTTTCACACGGCATCATAACATCACTGCGCTCACCACAATGTCCATGCTGTAATTATTGGAAGCAGCACTTTACAAGTAACCCTTTAGTGGTGATAGTATCATTGTGTCTGGACAGGTTGCATCATGCTGCAGAGAGCTGTGAAAATCACAAAGAGCTCCCCATTATTTGTCAGCCCCACTCCAAATAGATTTTGATTTCGGGAAGTTTTAGATGTGATATAAAAGCAGAACTAAAGTGTGATGGGGCACTCTCCATCCACTGATACTTCCCTTGACTGCACTCGCCCACCACTCCATTCATTTGTTGGAGCCCTTTGGGTATTCCCGGTGCTTTTGTATATAGGGGAGCATTTCATTTCCCCCAAGCAACTCCAGATAAAAATCACATGACAAAACTGAATAGACCATTGATAGATCAAATATTCCAGTTTTTGCTGTATTATTCACCTTCAATCCAGAGATCCCCAGTAGTACTCTTTTCTGTCGTTAGATGTCCTCAGTCTAAATTCCAGCATCATGCAAATCATTTCCTCTGAGCCAAGGTTGTCCTGGACCTGTCCCAGCCTGAGACTGGACAGTGAAAGGAGAGGCAGCATAGTGATTATCTCGCCACTGTTACCTCCTATCAGAATGCTTTTTGTTAGTGGACTGATTCTCTCCATACTCTCTGCTCCTCGCACGACCTCCTGCTCTCTAGCTCCCTTGCCTCCTCCTCCCATGCTCATTCCAGGACTTCTCCAGAGCTTCCCAATACTCTGGAACTCTCTACCCCCCAATTTATCAGACTATCGCCTACTCTGCTCACTTTTAGGCGATCTCTGAAAACCTATCTCTTCAGGGAAGCCTATCCTGCCCTCAGCTAATAATGTAATATTCTATTCCTCCTACCAGTCCATCCCCCACAGTTATTACCTTTTGTACCACTAGCCCCTCCCTCCTAGATTGTAAGCTCCAAGGAGCAGGGCCCTCCTAACCCTCTTGTATTGAACTGTATTGTCTCCTGTTATATTGTAAAGCGCTGAGCAAACTGTTGGCTCTATATAAATCCTGTATTATAATAATAAAAATAATAATTGCTTCTTTGTGCTATTTTTTCTTCTCACACTCCCGCTCTGCTGTACAGGGATTGAAAGGAGCTGATGGCAGAACATATCTGGGTACTTACACTGCTTGTCTTTAAAAGTACATGATAGATTAACCCCTTCACGCCGGCCGCACACAAATGTGCGGCCTCCCGGCGTCTGGGCCTGGACGGCAAGCGGCCGCACATTTGCTTTTTGTGTAAGAAAAAACATATGTGCTGAGAGCACATGCCCTGCGCGTTCCCAGCACACATGTGCGGTACTCACGGAAAGGTCCCGGTCCGCTCTTGCGATCGGGACCTTTCCTGATCATGTGACAGCCGTGTTGACGCGTCACGGCAGTCACATGATCCCTGAACCATGCCCCACCCGCCCCGCCTCCCAGCGCCTGAAACTCTTAAAGGGCTGGGAGGCACCGGCGGGAAGGGGTTAATGATCACAGAGCTTCATTCATTTGTCTTTTTTTTAATATCTCTTTAGATTTCAGGTTTAATCCCAGGATGTAGTGCTTTGGCCAGAGCAGCCAATTGGCGGACTTGAATGCTATAATGTGGTGGAGGGGACAAAGCCTCTGATACCGACCAACAAAAAGCCTGCACACTCTGCAGGTGAACAGGAGTCTTTTAACAAGTTGACCTCTGGAAAGTTTTTTACCTCCTTCATGACCAGGACATTTTTGCAATTCAGCACTGCGCTTCTTTAATGGCAATTGCTCGGTCGTGCAACACTCTACCCAAATTAAATTTATATAATTTTTTAACAACAAATGGAGCTTTCTTTTGTCGGTATTTAATTAAGTGTTCTTGCATGGCAAGACCCCTTACTGTTATCTCACATATATATTTCTTATTATTATAGCCAAATTTACCACCCTAACTCCTCCCACAGTTTTTACACTACATAGACAGTAATATACCGAAACGTGCGGATTGTTCCCGATTGGTGTGCTATTACTTTGTGGAACGTTTCGCCGAATGGTTCACGAAATATCGCCATTTATGTGGTGAAATTGGTCCCATAGGAATGAATGGCGGAATGTTCAAAACTAGAGTGGGAGCTGACAAAAGCTAGAGTGTGAGCTGAAAAAGCAGAACATGATTTCTAAACTGCCATCACTCCCTCATTTTCAAGCCCAACTACACAAATCTTATATCAAAACGTTCAGCTATCCCTGCTGCCACTAAAAATATCCACCTTTAAGCCATAGTCCCGATAGTTTTCAGAATATGACCATTTGTTTGCAACTCACGCCGCCCATTGACATTCATTGAAACTCCACTCTAGCCACCTCAAATTTGAAGGGCAATTTCTAAACTGTGCCTTCATTTTTAATATTTCAGAGACATACTATGCATCAAAATGTAGGTCTGGGTCTTGTGATTCTCACAATATAAAGCTCTTCACTGTAGGATTTATAGTTTTTAAAACTATCAATAATTAAAAGTTGAAATGCATTTCTCACTCTATCAAGCTTGCCGTGTGCACTTTTTAAATTTGATCAATCAATTGGTTAGTGTAATGTTTACTATCTTTACTCACTCCAAACACTCCACACAGTTACTCTGCCCACTCCATAAAGTTACTCTGCCCACTCCATCCTTTTCACAGTTACTCCAGCCACTCCAACCACACAACAGTTACTCCAGCCACTCCACCCAGTTACTTCGCCCACTCCAGTTGTAGACTACTGGTGGCGGCAAGAACACTTCACACAATTTCCCCAGAAATTGTAGCTTTTCTAGTTACCATTGTTTTTAAAATTTTTGCTATATAAAATGAAAAAATACAGAAACAAAGCAAACAAATAATCTTTTTTCATACACTTAGGCCACAATCTATTCTTCCATATTTCTTTAGTAAAAACAACCCAAATCAGTGTATATTATTTAGCCCTGGCTCACACTCGTGTGGGCTGTGTGGTCTGTGTTTGCCCGGGCATGCCGGTCCATTCATTTGAATGGGATGCCGTGCCTGCATTTTCCACAAAAAAAAGGTCTTGCACCTTTTTAAAAGCACCGCTGCAAGAAAATTGCATGGTTTTTTTGAACATGCAATTTTCCTGCAGTTCCCTTGCCTGCAAACATGCTGCAGATTGAGATGCATGGGGGTGTATAGTGAATGCGAAGTCCGGGGAGACCAGATATAGTGAATGCGGGGTCTGGGGAGACTGGACATAGCGAATGCAGGGTCCGGGGAGACCGGATATAGTGAATGCAGGGTCTGGGGAGACCAGATATAGTCACTGCAGGATCCAGGGAGACCAGATATAGTGAATGCAGGATCCAGGGAGACCAGATATAGTGAATGCAGAGTCCGGGGAGACCAGATATAGGGACTGCAGGGTCCGGGGAAACCAGATATAGTGAATGCAGGGTCCGGGGAGACCAGATATAGTGAATGCAGGGTCCGGGGAGAACGGATATAGTGAATGCAGGGTCCGGGGAGACCATATATAGTGAATGCAGGGTCCTGGGAGACCAGATATAGTGGATGCAGGGTCCAGGGAGAATGGATATAGTGAATGCAGGGTCTGGGGAGACCGGATATAGTGAATGCAGGGTCCGGGGAGACCGGATATAGTGAATGCAGGGTCCGGGGAGACCGGATATATTGGATGCAGAGTCCGAGGAGACCGGATATAGTGAATGCAGGGTCCTGGGAGACCAGATATAGTAAATGCAGGGTCCTGGGAGACCGGATATAGTGACTGCGGAGTCCTGGGAGACCGGATATAGTGACTGCGGGGTCCTGGGAGACTGGATATAGTGACTGCGGGGTCCTCGGAGACCGGATATAGTGAATGCGGGGACTGGGGAGACCAGCTATAGTGAATACGGGGTCTGGGGAGACCAGATATAGTGAATGCGGGGTCTGGGGAGACCGGATATAGTGAATGCGGGGTCCTGGGAGACCAGATATAGAGAATGCAGGGTCCCGGGAGACCAGATATAGTGAATGCAGGGTCCTGGGAGACCAGATATAGTGAATGCAGGGTCCTGGGAGACCGGATATAGTGAATGCAGGGTCCGGGGAGACCAGATATAGTGAATGCAGGGTCCTGGGAGACCGGATATAGTGAATGGAGAGTTCTGGGAGACCGGATATAGTGAATGCAGGGTCCAGGGGGACCGGATATAGTGAATGCAGGGTCCTGGGAGACCGGATATAGTGAATGCAGGGTCCGGGGAGACCAGATATAGTGAATGCGGGGTCGAGGGAGACCAGATATAGTGAATGCAGGGTCCTGGGAGACCGGATATAGTGAGTGCAGGGTCTGGGGAGACCAGATATAGTAAATGCAGGGTCCTGGGAGACCGGATATAGTGAATGCAGGGTCCAGGGAGACCGGATATAGTGAATGCAGGGTCCTGGGAGACCGGATATAGTGAATGCAGGGTCCGGGGAGACCAGATATAGTGAATGCAGGGTCCTGGGAGACCGGATATAGTGAGTGCAGGGTCCTGGGAGACCGGATATAGTGAGTGCAGGGTCTGGGGAGACCAGATATAGTAAATGCAGGGTCCGGGGAGACCAGATATAGTGAATGCTGGGTCCTGGGAGACCAGATATAGTGAATGCTGGGTCCAGGAAGACTGGATATAGTGAATGCAGGGTCCGGGGAGAGCGTATATATTGTGAATGCAGGGTCCTAGTTTTAGTAACACTTTAAAACCAAAATAAAGCCTTATAACCAAAAATGAAAAAAAAAAACTTTTTTTTCTCATCTCAGAAAGTTGGGAGGTAGAAGTTTTATTTGCCATAACAATGATTATTTCCAGCAACGAAAGCTGAAAATAATCACGCGGGGGATGATCGCCATCCTTGCGGCAGACAACACCTGCGTCATGGCTTTGTGAATCCAGCCGCGAGTTTCTGTCCTTTGCACGCCGTTATTGATCTTGGCTGAGCGCGCCTGGTGATGTACGGTCACTTTAACGGGAAATAAATCTCAGCCAAAGATCTGTCCTCAAATCTTTCTAAATGGGCTACTTAGCATGCGGCACCCCCACCATGCCGCTCCCCTCCCCCCACCCTCCACCATGCACATGGTCCTTGCAGGCCAGATAAGGTGTAACATGTGCAGGTCTTGGACAAGCACCTTAAAATAAAAAAAAAGAAAAGGTTTGTGTTTTCACAGGCTGTGTTCAGAGAATAGGGCAGGGACTGTTAGTCCAGCCACACGTGGAGCACACACACAGGGGGTAGGGGGAGAATACAAGCCGTCTAATGTTACAGGAGGAGGAGGGGGGGAGGGGGAGATGTGTCCTCCTGGGATCCTGCTCTCAATCTCCTTCCTGGTGATGGGGGAGCTCTCAGCGTCACACTCCCTCCTCCACCAATCACTGGCCGCCGCCAGCAGTTTCAAGGCGCCCTTCCCTTGCTCTGGAGTCACTAGTGAGACAAGTGTGTGACAAAGTAACAGCTGGCGTCACGGTGACAGTGTGCGAGGAGCGCGGTATATACTGACAGCCAGGGGACACTTCCCTGTGTATACAGCCAGGGCTGAACCCTCGCCGCATGGCGTTATACTGTCTTCATGCCATAAACCATTCCTTTTTCAATAAAGAAGAACTCTCGTGGTCATAAAAAAAAGAAATGTTGTCATCCATTAAAGTGGACCGCCTCCCCCTTTAACAAAACTGACATCAGCGATGCAATGTTCAATTTAAAATCAATAAACTTAGTCATCGTTACTTGCATTTCTCTTTTCTCTTTCCTGCAGTCTCTGTGGTCTGTTCTCCCCCGTGAATGTGAAACCCGCACTGCCATTTGTTAAAAAATGCCACCGCTTCTTCTTCCACCGGTGATGTCTTCTCCTGACCTTGAGCATGCACCGCACAAGATCTCTTATAAGATCAGGTGAGGGCTCCCTGGAAGGTACTGGTGATATAGCCGTCCTAAAAGGCAACTGCAAGACCGGGGATGTGTCACCAGTGCCACACATGAGATCTGCCATGGTTTTTTTTCTAACAAACCACGCTAGATCTTGTGCCATGCATGCATGAGATCTGGTGAGATCATCTTGGAAGGTACTGGTGAGGTAGCCTTCCCAGTGGGCAACCTCACCAGTGTGCCAAATGAGATCTGGCTCAGTTTTTGTTAAAGAATAACAAGCAGTGCTAGAATTTGTGCAATGCATGAGATCAGGTGAGTTATTCTCGGAAGGTACTGGTGACGTAGCCTTCCTAGGGGGAAAATGGTAGACCAGGACTACTGTATGTGACCAATGCAACATACAAGGCCTGCTAAGTTTTTCTAAAGAATAACAAACCATGCTAGATCTCATGCAGTGCATGCATGAGATCAGGTTAGATCATCCTGGAAGGTACTGGTGATGAAACCTTCCAAGGGGGCAAATCTAAGGCCCTGGCTACGTCACCAGTGCTCTAGATGAGATCTGGCACGTTTTTTGTTGAAGAATAAAAACCATGCTAGATATTGTGCAGCACATGCGTGAGATCAGTTGAGATCTACCTGGAAGGTACTGCTGGTGAAACCTTCCCAGAGGGCAACCATGAAGCCAGGGCTACATCACCAGTGTGCCAAATGAGATCTGGCTCAGTTTTTGTTAAAGTATAACAAGCAGTGCTAGAAATTGTGCAGTGCATGCATGAGATCAGGTGAGATCATCTTGGAAGGTACTGGTGAGGTAGCCATCCCAGTGGGCAACCTCACCAGTGTGCCAAATGAGACCTGGCTTAGTTTTTTTTAAAGTATAACAAGCAGTGCTAGAACCTGTGCAGTGCAAGCATGAGATCGGGTGAGATATCCCTGGAAGGTACTGGTGACGTAGCCTTCCTAGGGGGCAAATACTACGGTATGTCACCAATGCAACATACAAGATCTGCTAAGTTTTTCTAAAGAATAACAAATCATGCTAGATCTCATGCAGTGCATGCATGAGATCAGGTTAGATCATCCTGGAAGAAACTGGTGATGAAACCTTCCAGGGGGGCAACTGTAAGGCCCTGGCTACATCACCAGTGTTCTAGATGAGATCTGGCACGTTTTTTGTTGAAGAATAACAAACCATGCTAGATATTGTGCAGCACATGCGTGAGATCAGTTGAGATCTACCTGGAAGGTACTGCTGGCGAAACCTACCCAGAGGGCAATCGCGAAGCCAGGGCTACATCACCAGTGTGCCAAATGAGACCTGGCTCAGTTTTGTTAAAGTATAACAAGCAGTGCTAGCTAGAAATTGTGCAGTGCTAGAACCTGTGCAGTGCATGCATGAGATTGGATGAAATATCCCTGGAAGGTACTGGTGACGTAGCCTTCCTAGGGGGCAAATACTACAGTATGTCACCAATGCGACATACAAGATCTGCTAAGTTTTTTCTAAAGAATAACAAACCATGCTAGATCTCATGCAGTGCATGCATGAGATCAGGTTAGATCATCCTGGAAGGTACTGGTGATGAAACCTTCCAAGGGGGCAACTGTAAGGCCCTGGCTACATCACCAGTGCTCTAGATGAGATCTGGCATGTTTTTTGTTGAGGAATAACAAACCATGCTAGATATTGTGCAGCACATGCATGAGATAAGTTGAGATCTACCTGGAAGGTACTGCTGGCGAAACCTTCCCAGTGGGCAAACATGAAGCCAGGGCTATATCACCAGTGTGCCAAATGAGACCTGGCTCGGTTTTTGTTAAAGTATAACTAGCAGTGCTAGAAATTGTGCAGTGCATGCATGAGATCAGGTGAGATATCCTTGGATACTGGTGACGTAGCCTTCCTAGGGGGCAACTGTAAGGCTAGGTCACCAGTACCATGTGTTCTATCAGTGGAGATCTCTCTAGAAGATACTGGTGACGTAGCCTTCCCAGGGCTGCATAGCCTTTCCAGCTGTGAGGCTCTGGTTATGTCACCAGTGCACCATATAAGATCTGGAATAGTTTTTTTATTAAACAATAACAAACCACACTAGATCTCCTGTGGCACATGCCTGTGATCAGTTGAGATCTCCCTGGAAGGCACTGGTGACGTTGCCTTTCCAGGGCTGTGTAGCCTTCCCATCTGTGAGGCCCTAGTTACATCACCAGTGCACCATATACAATCTGGCATGGTTTGTTGTTAAAGAATAATAAATCATGCTTGATCTTGTGTGGTGCATGCGTGAGCTAGGAGGTGGCGCATCAATCATGTGTCCACTGTGACCGGCTCTTACAATGCTTCTCTTATGCAGGCCATACATGGATCGAATTCAGAACACATTTTCTTTAGAAAATCAGAAATTTTGTGTGTTTTGTAATCCAATGGTACCACCATTGATTTCGAAATTCGACCAACAAAGCCTTCAATTTCACCTCATGTTGCTACAGAAAAGAATTTTCATGGCCAAGAATTTTCTTTTCATTCCAGGACACAGCTCACACACATTTCTTTTTCTTTTATATTTCTTGCACGATTCTCCATCATTGATTTGAAATTCGTTCTTTTTTCCAAAAATTTCCAACATGCCGGGTCACTCAAATTCGATGGTCACGCGAAAATCGTCCGTTTCTGTGACCCACTTATGGTGCGAAATTCGAACAAAAATTCTAAAGAAAATTATTTCGGAATTCAACCCCTGTATGGCCGGCTTTAGTTAGAAGCCTTGACTGAGAGCTGTCGGTGACAGCCTGATCAGTGTGTTAAGCGTGCGCAGTGAGCACTAAAGCCCACCATTCTTGCTTCCACATATAGTGTATGCATTACATGATCAGCAAAAAAAAACAAAATCTTTACAAATAGTTTGATGTTTAGGGATGTGCATGCAGAAATACATACACCAAGGATTTTTGTGTTTGGGGGGGTAAAGGTCCACTTTAATATCTAACTACCTTTCATTGTCTCTCTAATGAACCACTAACACAGTCGACCATCCGCTCCTCCTCAGTAAACTCCAATCCATTGGCCTCCGTGACTCTGCTCTCTCCTGGTTCTCCTCTTACCTTTCTCAGCGCACTTTCAGTGTCACATACAACTCCTCCTCCGTTCATCTCCCTCTTTCCGTTGGGGTACCCCAAGGTTCTGTCCTTGGGTCCCTCCTTTTCTCTCTCTACACCTCCTCCCTGGGCCAGTTGATAACCTCCCATGGCTTCCAATACCACCTCTATGATGATGACACCCAGATCTATCTCTCCACTCCCCAGCTCACCCCCTCAATCTCCTCACGTATCACAAATCTACTAAGCGACATAAATCAGCATGGATGTCACGCCACTACCTTAAACTCAATCTTTCTAAAACCGAGCTTGTAATATCCCCCCCCCCCGATCCCCAAATCATGACTTTACCATTAAGATCGACAGCACAACCAAAGGTCCTTTCCCTCATGCCTGACCTCTCCTTTGGGCCCTACATCCAATCACTGGCTAAATCCTGCCAATCCTCAACCTCCGGAACATTTCCAAAATCCGCCCCTTTCTGACCAATGACACCACAAAATGACTTACCCATGCCTTGGTTTTATCCTACCTTAATTACTGCAACTCCCTCCTCACAAGTCTACCATTACACAGGTTATCCCCCCTTCAGTCTATTATGAACACTGCTGCTAGACTCATCCACCTTACACATCTGTGATTGCTGCCCCTCTCTGCCAATCTCTTCATTGGCTTCCACTAACTCAACATATAAAATTCAAAATACTAACCACA